CGTCGTCGCCAGTGGCTGGGTCTTCTCGCTCCGACCGGACGGCTCCAACGCCCAGCATCTGAGACATGAACGCGAGGTCGAATTCTGGCACGTACGGCGGCAGCTCGGGCATCTGCCTCTGCCCCCTCGCCGCATCGACGAGCGCGCTCGTGTCAGCTCGCCGCTGCTCCTGGTGCCGCTGCTTGGCCGCCGCGCTCGCACTCGCTCCGCTCGATGACATCGTGAGGCACAACGGTCTGCGAGCTCCTTAGTCCTTTCGCCCAGCGGGGGTCCACCACAGAGTTCTCCCAGTCCCTAAATGCGCGCCGTTTTCGTCGTACCCCTTCGAAACCCGCCGACTTTGATTGGGTCCGGTTCAACCTCACTCTCATCTTATCTATTACAGACACAAAACGTCAGATCTGCCTCACCCTGGGCTGGACCTAGTCTGCATGCCACCGAAGGCGCTGTCGAGGTTCACCGAGCGCGGCGCAGGTTGAGGGACACCGTCACCGACGAGCGCGTTGCAGTATTCACTCCGGACTAGACGGTTTGGCCGGCGCCATGTGGCGCCGGGCCCGCCCTCCAGGGCGTGGCACGTCTAGTGCCAGCGACGCAAACGGCAAGTGTTTTGCGACGGGTAGTGTTGGGACCAACACGACGCCGATCGTTGAAAGTAGCAACCACTCACACACGCCTCTACAAACCAGGAGCCCCATTTCCGTACTGCTGCGCGGCGCACGGTGCCTCCGGGGGCCCCCGCGCCCCCCCAGAGGGGCAAGCCCATGCCTTGATCTGGTTAATTGTCCAAAATTCCTGTTGTGCAAGAGGGGAGGGTAGTGAGACACGCACGGGTGTCGGTGGTAGCGAGTGAGCCGCGCGCGCGCGCAGCGCGGCGCGGCTCGGTGGGAGTCGTGATTTGTCGCACAAGGGATTCGATCAACGCCCGTCGGAACACTCACAAACATCGAAAGTGTTATCGTGGGTGGCGTAATTGACGTATAAGTCGTGCTGGCGCGCTAATGGCGCGTTTGATATTGGGATCGTGTGAACTCGCCTGGCTGGCGCCATGGCTCGTCCATCATCGAGAGGTCTGCCCCTCGCTAGGTGTCACTCTACCCCCCCCGGCTCGGCGCGCCGTTCAGCTAGCAGTCTCGTGACGCGACGTCGCGGCGAGCCTCAATCTGTTGGCATGCCTGTGAGGGGCACAGAGAGTCAATCCCATCAATAGTCCGCCGCGCGCGGTCGCCGTTGGTGGCGCGTATGACGCCGAGGGCGGCGCGTGTGGCGCCGTTGGTGGCGCGTATGACGCCGAGGGCGGCGCGTATGGCGCCGTTGGTGGCGCGTATGACGCCGAGGGCGGCGCGTGTGGCGCCGTTGGTGGCGCGTATGACGCCGAGGGCGGCGCGTATGGCGCCGTTGGTGGCGCGTATGACGCTGAGGGCGGCGCGTGTGGCGCCGTTGGTGGCGCGTATGACGCCGAGGGCGGCGCGTATGGCGCCGTTGGTGGCGCGTATGACGCCGAGGGCGGCGATGACGCCGTTGGTGGCGATCACGCCGTCGGTGGCGATCACGCCCGGCAGCGCCGTTGCTGCTGCTGTTGCTGTTGCTCTCCGGGGCCGATGGAATTTTCGTCGTTGGCGGCTAGGACTCCCGCTTGAATCACTTCTGCCATTTGCTATGATAGATGAATGGGGTGATTCACGAGGGGCTGCGCTCTCCCCCCCCCGCTGAGGCGCCAATTCCGGTCGGCCCTTTTTTGCGGGACGAAGTGAACGTTGAAATAGTGCATCTGTTTGGTACTCGACCGTTGCTGACAGTAGTTGGTGGGTTCGTATGCCACCGTTTTGGGTTGCTGCAGCGATGACAATTGCTGTCAATGCCAGTACCAACCCACCATCTCTGCTGTGCAAGTTGAGCGGTGCAATTCCAGTTGGATACGGCAGAGGTACGCCGTTGCGTGTTGGGCTCATAAATTTTGTTGGGCTGGCCTCGAGGCCAGCAGCCGCTGCCATAGTGAGACACGCACGGGTGTCGGTGGTAGCGAGTGAGCCGCGCGCGCGCGCAGCGCGGCGCGGCTCGGTGGGAGTCGTGATTTGTCGCACAAGGGATTCGATCAACGCCCGTCGGAACACTCACAAACATCGAAAGTGTTATCGTGGGTGGCGTAATTGACGTATAAGTCGTGCTGGCGCGCTAATGGCGCGTTTGATATTGGGATCGTGTGAACTCGCCTGGCTGGCGCCATGGCTCGTCCATCATCGAGAGGTCTGCCCCTCGCTAGGTGTCACTCTAGAGGGGGCTCTGACGGAATGTGTGGCGGGAGAGGGCAGGGAATGGGCGCAGGGGAGGGGGGGGGGGGGGCTCAGCCGTGCAAAAAGCATTAATTAATAATAGTAATGAAGAAATAATGCTCGGCCGTTCATGAAGTCCGTCTCGATCTGGAGGAGACGGGTCAACCCCGTGAGGACCAGATCAGGTTCACATTGTCGTAGCCGGAGGGGATGTTGACCGTTAGCTCTTGGGGCCACCTTTCCGCTTTGGTTTTTTTCCCACTGACCACTCGGGCAACTTTTACCAAATGCCAAAGTTGCACTTCACCACTCGGGCAAATTCGATTGCATTTTACCACTCGGGCAAACTCGATGAAACGGGCGGACGGAAAACGCTTTTGCGGCAGCTCGCCCGAGAGCTATGCATGAAGCGGCCGGCGCGCCACCGCAGCTCACCGATGGAGTGTGCGGAGCGGCTCAATCCACTGGCGCAGCAGCATCGCGACCCATTCTCCAAGCACGGCCTCTGGCGTTGCGATTGCACAGAGAGCGAGCAATAGTCGCCAAAAACACTGTTCTGTGTGCAGCGGATCTCCATGGCGGTCGCGCCCAGCGAAGGGACAACCGCAGGCCTCGGATGCTCGCCCGGAAGCGGTCCCACCGTGCGAGTTGCAGCCCCGGAGGTGGCCGACCCAGCCCACCCCCAGAGAGGCATGCCCAGGGTCAGGCATAGAAGGGGGGGTGTTTTTCCGTCCGTCCAACTAGTGCAGCTTGACACCCAAGTGTTGAGCACCGGTGACTGTGGGAATGGGGAAGCAGAGTTCAGATCAGTCGAGGGAGTGTGATCTCCCTCATCCTCAACGGGCGTCCAATCGCAATCGGATTTACTACGGCGGTGGTCCAATGGTAATCCGCATATTGGACGTCCCCGTCCATTGTTCTCGCCGTTCTTCGGCGGGGCCGCGTCAGGGCGGGGGCGCAGGCGCGCGCCCCGCCCGGCGCGCAGGCGCCAGTGCGGCGCGGAGGTTCTGAGCTTGGGCTGACCTTCGTGGGGCGAGGCGGTGCCTCTTGGCCCGCAGTCGGTGCCCTTTGCCGGTCGCACAAAGGCCAGCGCGGCCTCTCTGGCGACAGTCTGGCTGGCGACTGCCGTTTGTTGGTACAGCTCGCAGTGCCCCGGCCGTGCATAGCGAGCTCTACGAAAGTAACTTGCGAACACGGTGCTGGTCAATCCCTTACGAAAGGAACCCAGCAACGGAGCTATGGCACAGCAAGTTGTGATGTGCTTGGCTGCATTGCGCCTCGCATTAAGGGCTAGGAGGCTGGCTGTGCCGGAGAGGAGATGCCGTGAGCAACATACGGCACGTGCCTCTGGGGGCCGGATGAGCACAGTGCTCAATGCCCTCTACGACCGTCGCGGATGCGACAGTTTCTGCTTCCCTGCGCTGTGCCCTGCGGCCTTCGGTGGGTTCACCTATGTCCGGCCGCTTTCACTTGGGGTGTCAAGCCGCAGTTTGGGGTTGCGTCGTGTGCCAAGCATGGCCATCACAGTCAGGCATGCTGATACTCTCGCAGTCTGCCCGTGTGTGTGCTTAGCCCCGCTCAGGCTTCTAACATGCTTGGTTGTCCCAACTTTGTTGCCACATCCCGCAGTTACTGCAGCTTGACACCCAAGTGTTGAGCACCGGTGACTGTGGGAATGGGGAAGCAGAGTTCAGATCAGTCGAGGGAGTGTGATCTCCCTCATCCTCAACGGGCGTCCAATCGCAATCGGATTTACTACGGCGGTGGTCCAATGGTAATCCGCATATTGGACGTCCCCGTCCATTGTTCTCGCCGTTCTTCGGCGGGGCCGCGTCAGGGCGGGGGCGCAGGCGCGCGCCCCGCCCGGCGCGCAGGCGCCAGTGCGGCGCGGAGGTTCTCCCACCCTCCATCCCCATCGCGCTCTATAAACTCTCACAAGCCTGTCTAGAGGTAGTGGGGGTTGCGTCGTGTGCCAAGCATGGCCATCACAGTCAGGCATGGGGTTGCGTCGTGTGCCAAGCATGGCCATCACAGTCAGGCATGCTGATACTCTCGCAGTCTGCCCGTGTGTGTGCTTAGCCCCGCTCAGGCTTCTAACATGCTTGGTTGTCCCAACTTTGTTGCCACATCCCGCAGTTACTATCATCTCGCTGCACATGGGGAATATCACATACGGGGGCCAGAGGCAGGAGCTCGACTCGCCGCTATGAGCCCGGCCACTCCCCTCAGCAGAGCAGGCGTGAAACCGTGCCGGATTTCACGCAACTGATAGGGATAAAGACGGCGACACGCACACGAGCTGCGGTCGTGTGGCCGTCATAGCGGCGAGGCGCGGGACCGTCTGTGGCGAGGTGGGTCGCGTCCTCCGATTTCCGTCAACTCACGGTCCCGCTTCCCCCGTACAGACGCACGGGCCCCCTCTTAGGCCTTAGGGGCCTCTAGAGAACACATTCTCTGGTAGGACGGGAACGAGATGATAGTAGGGAGTAGAAGAAAGCAAAGAGGAGCCCTGCGCACGCACGACTCCGCAGGAGAAGCCCCTCCCGCCCGTGCTTGCGCAGCGCAGCCTCCTCCTAACACAACCCCCTCTCCCTTTTCTCCCAGTAAGCTTAAAGTACGTACAACAAGAGAGAGCACACCCGTGACCCGAGAAAAGGGAGGTGTGTGTGTTCTCTACACTTCGGTGTGTGCGTCTCTCACAGCAAGCAAGCACAAGCCACAACCTTCTCAGCTACCCTCGACGCCACTGCGCTCACGCAGCTCGCTGAGCCGCTTGCGAATGTCGATGCACCGCTCAAACTCCATCGCAGCCTACGGAGACACAGCCGCACCGCTTGCGACGCCTCGCCTCAGCGCGCCCAAGCAAGCTTAGCTGGGCAATCGTGACGTGTGCGGCCGCCTTCTGCAAATCTAGCCTTGCTGCAAATCGCTGTGCGCGTGGCGGAACCCGGCGGATCCCGGCGATCCCGGCTAGTCTCCACCTTTGCGCGCGCCATCTCGCCCTCCAGCTTTTGGATCTGAGCGCGCGCCAGCAGCCGGTCGTGCGTCCTGCGGAGGGCCAGTCAGACAGCCGAGCGTCGCAAGGGGTCAGCTCGAGGCGGCCGGTCGGCTGGTCTCTGAACCTTCTGGCAAGTCTCTAGCCGACTCCTGCGTGCGCTCTCGCGCAGCCGCACCACTAGCCAGCGCGGCGGTGCACGGCCATGCTTGATGCACCGTCACTGACGGGGTGCGATCTCTCGGCGCACTTCGGCTCATCTCGGCGCATTCGGCTCATCTCGGCGATGCACCCTTGACTAATGGCGTGCCGCTCGCGTTCTGCCGCGAGGCGCGCCTCCTCATCGCGGCTCACCTGGGGGGGCGGGCGGCGGCGGCAGAGAGTGGCAGGGTGGCGACGCTCACCTCGCCGAAGGGTGCCGAATCGGACTCGGCGTGGGCCAAGCACCACGCGGCGGCGCTCACCTCGCCGTCCGCAACCGCCATCACGGGCTCGGCGTAGCGCTCCGCCCGGGCCGCCTCTTCCTGAGCCGCCCCGCCGGCGGCGGTCGGCCCTGGGAGGGGAGCAGTGGCGGGGTTGGCGAGAGGGCAGGAAGGGGCAGGAAGGGGCGAGAGGGGGCGGGAAGGGGCGAGAGGGGGCGGGAAGGGGCGAGCGAGCGAGGGGAGAGGCCGTCGAGGGGGCTAGGAGCACCCGCCGCCGCCACGTCCGGCGTCCGACTCGCGCCCCTTCCGGCGGCAGCATCACCCTCAGCATCACCCTCTGCCGCGCTGGCCGACGCAGGCGGCGGCGGCGGCGGCGGCGCGTCCCGGGCGAGCTTGGCTGCATGCGCCTGCAGTGTGGATATGCGCGCTCAAGCTGTGAAGATGGCACCTTGGCGCCCCACTGGTCGCGCTGGTGCGAAAACTACTCACTGATGGACTGGGGAACGCAGCCCACGCCTTTTCTCGAGCGTCGCCGCGATACAGCGATTGGGAGCCAAAGCATCTACCGCCCCGTGCCGCTTGCTTCCTGGCCAAATCTGCCATGGCTCGTGACGATAGCTCAGGCCTAAGCGGTGCAGGACGCGGAGCTCACGGCGGCCGGAAGGCGGCGACGCAGTCTTAGCAACCTGTAGCGGGCGGGCCAGGCGAGCCAAGCCGCGGGGCAGGACCATTGCTACCGCCCCCTCTGGCGAAAGAGGTGACTGCGGGGGGGAGGGCGGGTGTCGCATCTGCGTCTCGCGCCGGAGGTCCGAGTCGAGACTCGCGGTCCCGAGCGACACCTGTAGTACGAGCCGAGGAGGCTGTAACAGAGGCCGCCGGCCAGCACCTCAGTGCACCGGGCGCCGCACAAAAGGCGGGGCCGATCCCGCGAGAGGAGCAGAGGGGCGCAGCCCAGGGGCACCGGCTCGGCGGGCTAGCGGCAGTGCGGGGTGTGTGGCTCGTGGGGATCGCTCTCTCCCCAGTGGCATGCGGTGTGTCGTCGACTTCAGACAAGCTGCCGGCGCTGCGCTTCCTTCCCCCTCATGTCCCCCTGCCCCCAATTTCGGTGAGTCTCCGCGAGTCTCCGCGAGTCTCTGCCTGGAACTGCTTGCGCTGCTCCTTGCGCCACTCGCGCATGGCCGTCAGCTTGGTATCGGCGTCTGGGACCGCATCCACCACCTACCCGAAGGGAGGTGTGGCGTGGGAGTGGTGGGAGAGGTGGGAGTGGCGGTGTGTGTGTGTGTGTGTGTGTGTGTGTGTGTGTGTGTGTGTGTGTGTGTGTGTGTGTGTGTGTGTGTGTGTGTGTGTGTGTGTGTGTGTGTGTGTGTGTGTGTGGTGTGCTGTGTGCGTCGGTTGTGCGTCGGTTGTGTGCTGCAGGTGGGGTGGGGTGGGTGTCCACCAGGGCGGCAAACTCGTCCGAGTCGCGGTAGGACCGGTTGTGCGCTCCGTCGCCGCGCTGCGCCTGGCGACGTGTGGGCGACGTGTGTGTGTGTGTGGGCGACGTGTGGGCGACGTGTGGGCGACGTGTGTGTGTGTGGGAGGGGGGGGGGGGGTAGGAGGGAGGGAGCGGAAGCGGCGTGGGCAGCGGGTGAGGGCGCTCGCTTGAAAGAACGGGTCGAGCATAGCGTCAAGCTGCTCCTTCGAGATGCGCCGCCCCAGCGCCGACGGGTGCACCGGCGAGGCGATGGGGAGGGATTGCATATCCTCTTTGCACACCACCGCCACGGGCACCGGTGGGCTTTCTCGCAGCAGCGCATCGAAGTCAGGCCTGCAGAGGGCGACAGCGTAACATCGAGGAACGGGTCCGGTGATGGATTGCGAGGGTAAGCTCGGTGAGTGGGTGGGTGGGTGCGAAGGGTGGGAGTCGCTGGCGGGGCAGGGAGGTGTTGCGCACAACTCGGCTGGTCCGGGCGCGAGGGCGTGCTTGATGAGCGCTCGCTCGACATACGGCGAGCACGCTGCGAGCTCACGCAGCGGCATTGCCGCGGGGCTTTTGAGGCCGAGGTCCACCGCGACGGTGCGCCCCGACGATCCCGTCACACCCAATGGCACTCCGAGGCAGACGGGGTGGCGCTCGACGTCGCCGAGCCACGCGCCCTTACTGCGAAGGTAGCTGAGGAAACCGTCGCGAGTCGTGCGCACGGATCCCGCGGCGGCGCGCGAGGGCAACCCCCCAAGCTGGCGCCCCGACCGCATGCGGTTTCGTGCCTTTTTTTATCGATCAACACTTTCGATAGACCGAAAGTAAGATCGTTCGGTGCAGAAACGCCGGCCATGCCCATGTAACGCACTTGTGCTCGCTTTTTTTGATTTTTTGGTTTAGAAGTGTCTCCAAGTCTTCTGGACCCATCGATGGCCGTCGCCTCGACGCCGCTCGTCGCGGCACCATCGTGCCCGGCCTGGGCGAAGCGTCGTCGCGGGTTCCCGCCGCAGTTCGACGGCAAGCCGTGCGAGCCTGCCGAGGAGGAGGACATGTGGCTGTGCAGAGCCGACGGCCGCGCGCGCAGCACCGCCGACCTGAAGCGCCTGGCGACCGCCGCTCGGGTGCGAGCGAAACGAGCAGGAGATGCAGCCGCCGCGAACACGCGCGATCGGCAGGCGCGCGACCAGCGCCGCCGGCAGCGTGAGCAGCACGACCGGCGCGCAGCGCCGGCGGTCGCCAAGACCGTGCGCCCACAACGCGGCCAGTGCGGCTGCCCGGCGCACGCGGTGTGCGGCATGTGCGTCGACCAGGGCAAGCTCGCCGCGGCCGAGCAGGCGGCCATCGACCTGGAGACGCGCTTCCACGCCTCGACGAACGTCGTCATGGACCTGGAGCGGCCCGAGGACGAGACGGCGGCGCTGCTGCAGCGCTGCGTGCACGTCTCCGACGAGACGAAGCGGCGGCTGCTGGGCGAGTGGAGCGACGAGCGCATGGCGCACGCGCTGCCGCTGCACGCATGCGCCTCGTGCGGCGTGCGCGACCCGTCGCTGACGTACACGCGGGTTGACGTGTCGGCGCTGCCGCGTACTGTGTCTGTGCGCGTAGCCGGCGGCGAAGACGAGACGCGGCACGTGTTTGAGCTCTCGCCCGAGCAGTGCGCTAAGTATCGAGGTCTTCAAAACAAAGAAAAAGGAGTTGCGGTGTTGATCGCCGCGGGAGCCCTCTTATGTTGATAACGTGTGGGCCCTCAGCGGGGGAAGAGGACCGCCGCAAGCGGCGTGGCGTGGAGCGGTTGAGCATCCCTTAGGGGGCCCTCCTGCGCCGGGGAGGCGCTGTTGGAGGCTAGGACGCAAGCGTCCGTCGCCCTTTTCAAACTCGGGGCCCACTCCGCTACAGTCTGTTGCGGGCATTAAGAAAACAGGATCCCGCGGCACGCCGCCGTTTCTAAGCCTTTCCACACACCCCACCCACCCCACGCCGTGGTTTCTTAGCCTCGGCCGGCACCCCACAGGTGAGTGAGACGGGATCTAGGAATGTTTAGGTAAAATGACAATACGGAAGCGCTGGACCGCTCCGGATGTCGCCAGTCCGACTTCTGCCACCCACTTGGGATGACAGGAAGACGCACACACCTCCCATCCACACCGCCCAGAACACCGCAGACTTGCTTGGGCAAAATGTGACCCGAGCCGCCGGGTGCCCGCAGCGGCCTCGCTGGACCAGAAGAACCGGTCCGCGAGTGCTCCGCAGCAGCCTCGCTGAGCCAGAACGTCGGCTCGCGAGGTGGGGTGCTAGTATGAGCCCGACCCAGGTCGTAGTGTTCTTGCTCCCAGCGCTTGCGCTTCGGCGGTTAGTGGTGCACTAACCTCCGAGAAACCCTTCGGGTCGCTCCTCATCGCAAACCCTGTCAGCAGAGTCTCCTACGGGAATGTACGTAAGAGCTACATACACTGAAAATGACAAGTGCGCGCGCCGCAGGCGAAGAGAAATTTTGAGCGGGGCTCCTGTTCACACTCGTGTGTGGGCCCTTTCTCGGGGCCGCGCCTGCGGGGCGCCGCGGTTTCTTAGATTTTCGCGGAAATCGCTCGGCGTGGTTTCTTAATGGTACGTTTTCTTAATGCCCGCAACAGACTGTACGCTCCGACCCGAATTTGGAGGGCCTAAAAGTTTAAGGTGTTGCTTGCTGGGGCTGCGGTGCGTGTCAGAAGACCTCTTCCGATCGCTCAGTGTTGAAGAGATCAAAGAAGGTGATGTAGCGTGTGACGGATTCCCACAGCTGCCCTACCAATATGCGTACGACGCGCTCCTTCATCGGTTCTTCAGCGATCATGCTCGCGTTGCCGAGCTCAAAGAGCTACTCAAAGCGAAAGACGAGAAAGAGTGGAAGAAAAATATGCTCGACCGTTCTATGGGCGCAATCTTCGACCCTCCACAGCTTAGCCTTAGGGACTTGAAGGCTCAGATCCGGTCTGATCTATGTCGAGTGATCAATGCAATGTCGCCGTACGAGGTGCTAATGAATGCACCGTTCCACGAGACGCCCGCCACGAGCGATTTGTTAGATTGCGATCTCAAGTACGACGCAGATACTCTTGAGCACTTCAGCTCACCTTTCGGTTACGAAGGCCCGGAGTGTTCCTTTTCCTCTCTTTTCTGATTTGACTACTGATCTCTTGACCTATTCTTGCCACGAGATCGGTGTGTGTGTCGGCGTCGTGTTGCTCGTCTTAACGCTACCCGTCACAAATCTCTTCTCCATCGCTGTCACTAGACACGTCGAGGGCGGGGCCCGGCGCCCATGGGGCGCCGGCCAGTATCCTCTAGTTCTCCCATGAAAACAAGTATAACGTGCCCCCCCCCCCATGAACACACCAGTGAGGGAGGGCGAGACGATCGAGGGGTCCCGTACCACGCGGAATCGACCCTATCAAGTGCTCAAGTGCTCAAGTATAACGCACGGGCCCTCAGCGGAGCTGGGAAGAGGACCGCCGCAAGCGGTGTGGCGTGGACCGGTTGAGCATCCCTCCGGGGGGCCCTCTGCGCCGGGGAGGCGTTGTTGGAGGCTAGGACGCAAGCGTCCGTCGCCCTTTTCAAACTCGGGCCCCCACTCCGCTACGCTCCGATCCGAGTTTGGAGGGCCTAAAAGTTTAAGGTGTTGCTGCGCAAAAGGGGTCGGACACAGGGCGCAGCTCATGCTAAGAGCTAGAAGAGGAGATAGAGAGAACAACCACCCTGTCCCGTTATTGCGTACACCAACACCACAAAAGCTCTCTCTCCTGCTCCTCACTCAGCTCTCAGGGGGGGGGGGGGTCACAACTACCCTCTCTACCGAGTCCCTAGTCGCCTAGCTGCCACGTTCAAAACCAGGACGGCGGCAGTGATGGTGCTATCACGGGCATGATCAGTGGAAAGTGGGGAGGGTGGTATGGGATTCATAGTAGAGCAGGCGCTTTGTGGGTGGCGGGTATGGGCGGCGGCGTTGGGAGGCCGGCCGAATCGTTAGCGGAGCTCCTCCCTCAAGCTCGATCACGCATGACGCACGTTGAGTGACAACGTTGGCGAGCTTCTGAATCAGGCTAGGTTGCCGGAGCACCTCCAACTCCTCCTCTGAGTCAGACACGCCAACGCCGACTGCCCTCCTCCTCCCATTCGTCGCCTGCGCCCTCCTCCTCCTCCAATTCGTCGACTGCGCCCTCCTCCTCCTCCTCCAATTCGCCGACTGCGCCCTCCTCCTCCATGGGCTCGATCCGATTCCGCAGCGTGTCGTCCCCAGCGGCGGTGCTGCGCGGGAGGCGGCCGCGGGCACGCTGGGCTCGATCAGCGGCTTCCCCTCAAGTTGCGCCGAAAGTGGCGGACGTTCTGGGTTTCAATTTTACGGATGTCTTGCCACTAGCTGAAGGCTTGCACGCTCACATCACATGGTTTCGCCACGGTATTCGGATTGAGCACTTGAGCACAGATAGGTCGATTCCGCGTGGTACGGGACCCCTCGATCGTCTCGCCCTCCCTCACTGGTGTGTTCATGGGGGGGGGTCATAACAATCACGGTACAGGATCGAGGTGCACGCTGCCGAAGCATTGTCGTCCCCCCTCTCCCCGACGGCGATGGCGGTGTGACCGATCGAGCTACAAGAGGAGCTTGTTCAGCAGGATCAGGGGTGGGTCGAGCAGTTCTCACTTCCTCAATGGGTGAGCTTCAGACCTCGGGCCAGCCAGCGCCACCACGCGTCCTCCCCTTCACCCCTCGGCTCGTGTGGATTCGAACCACGGCCGGGATGGAAGCTTCCTGCTTCCATCTGATTAGTTTTCCATTTTCCTCCTGTGCACGAGCGGGGAGGGCTCAGACGGAGCGCGCGACATGAGAGGGCCGAGAGTGGGCAGGGGGGGGGGGGGGGGCTCAGCCGTGCAAAAGCATCATTCATAATATTAATTAACGAACAGGTATTGCCCGGCCGTCTGTGGAGTCTGTCCCAATCTGGAGGAGACGGGTCAGCCCCGTGAGGTCCAGATCACGTTCACATTGTCGTAGCCGGAGAGAATGTTGACCTTTGACTACGTGGTTAATTGTCAAAATTCCTGTTGTGCAAGAGGGGAGGGGGCTCTGACGGAGTGTGTGGCGGGAGAGGGCAGGGAATGGGCGCGGGGGAGGGGGGGAGGGGGGGGGCTCAGCCGTGCAAAAAACATTAATTAATAATAGTAATGAAGAAATATTGCCCGGCCGTTCATGAAGTCCGTCTCGATCTGGAGGAGACGGGTCAACCCCGTGAGGACCAGATCAGGTTCACATTGTCGTAGCCGGAGGGGATGTTGACCTTTAAGCTCTTGAGGCCACCCTCCCGCTTTGGTTTTTTCCCCACAGACCACTCGGGCAACTTTTACCAAATGCCAAAGTTGCACTTTACCACTCGGGCAAATTCGATTGCATTTTACCACTCGGGCAAACTCGATGAAACGGCGGACGGAAAACGCGTTCGCGGCCGCTGCTCGCTCGCTCGCCGGAGAGCTATGCATGAAGCGGCCGGCGCGCCACCGCAGCTCACCAATGGAGCTTGCGCCGCGGCTCAATCCACAGGCGCAGCAGCATTGCGACGCATTCTCCAAGCACGGCCTCTGGCGTTGCGAGTGCACAGAGAGCGAGCAATAGTCGACAAAAGCACTGATCTGTGGGCAGCGGATCTCCATGTCGGTCGCGCCCAGCGAAAGGACAACCGCGGGCCTCGGATGCTCGCCCGGATGCGGACCCGCCGTGCGAGTTGCAGGCCCGGAGGAGACCGACCCAGCTCATCCCCAGAGAGGCCATGCCCAGGGTCAGGCATATTGCAATAAAAGGGGGGGTGTTTTCCGTCCGTCCACTCAGACTCGGATTATTGTGCTATTTGTTCTCGTGGGGGTATATCGCAGATTTGTCAATGGTACCGCGTCTGCGACGCGGGCGCCTTGCGAGCAGAGCCCTTAGGCCACCCTATATCTTGCGCGGTCAAAAAAAGATACGTGGCAGTTCCCTTGCTCCAAGCGCTTGCGCTTCGGCGGTAGTGATCTAATCACCCAAATACCACGTTTGGATCGCTCCTCATCGCAAACCCTGTCAGCAGTTCACCTACGGGTATGTTCGTAAGAGCTACATACACTGAAAAAATGCGCGAAAAAATTGAAAAATCGGCGCCTGCGGGACCCCATCTCCCCCCCCGCATGGGTACCCTCTAGGGCCCCCGCGCCCCCCCAGAGAGCGCACCCTTTTTATCTGCCCTCAGCCCTCTATATACAATCGGTCGGGCCGTCGCCGCCCTCTCGCTGTGTACGCTTGGTGTGTCGCGCAAGTATGTATCTGAGCCGAGGGGTGAGGGGGAGGACGCGTGGTGGCGCTGGCCTGGAGTTCTGAAGCTCACCCATTAAGGAAGTGAGGTACTGCTCCGCCCACCCTGATCCTGCTGAACAAGCTCCTCTTGTAGCTCGATCGGTCACACCGCCACCACCGCCGACGTCTCCCAGTGAGACGATAGAGAGGGGGGACGACACTGCTTCAGCAGCGTGCTCCGCGTGCACCTCGACGTCCTATACCGTGTTTGTTATGACCCCCAACGCTCTGGGGGGAGGCGAGGGCCCTAGGGGTACCCATGCGGGGGGGGGATGGGGTCCCCTAGCCCGCCGCAGGCGCCGATCTTTGAATATTTTTGCGCGATTTTTTACTTGTTTTCATGGGAATTCGGCGTACTTGCGGCCATGCTATCACGCCTTGCGACATCCTTTCGGCGCTGCTGACCGTGCCATGCTGCTCAACTGACCGCCTGCATAGCTCGCGGCCTTAGTCTTCAGCATTCAGTGACGACCTGATCGTACGGCCAGCAGGAAGGTGTCCTTCCAGCGCGTGCACGCTTCTGACGCAATGCGCGTCGCCTCGGATTGGCTGCTGGCACTCTCGAGGCTATGCCTACACAGCCTCGCGCGCATGGGTAGTCAAGAGGGAGACCATGCACCTTCTCAGGACAGCGCCGGTGCCTCTCTCTTGGACCGGCAAACGCGGTGGTCTCGTGTCACCGATGTGGGACCAGTGCGGCATCGCGCCATCGACAGCTCTGAACTGCGCCTCACCACTGACCAGGAAGGCCGCCAGGGGGGCCAGCACCGGTCGCACATTGTGGCAGCAGTCAGCAGCGCATGTCTGATAGCTAGAGCAGCAGCATCAGGGTCGCAGGGTCGGATCGTGTCAAGCCTCTCGCCCGGCCGGCCGCGTGCAGACGTCGGCCTGTCTGCTGTCCGGAGTGATCTGTCGGCGGTCAGTACGACCAATCAGGTCGGAGTTTTCTTATGATTGGAGGGTCTATCTGTGTGTACTCCTCGAGATCTCTTCAAATCTGCCCTCTGATCAACCGTGATCATTCGGGAAGTTGGTGCTAGTAGAGACTAGTAGAGCCGGAGCCCCGTTTCCGCACTGCTGCCGCGCGGCGCATGGTGCCTCCGGGGGGCCCCGCCTCCCCCCAGAGCCCCAACGAACACACCAGCGAGGGAGGGCTAGACGATCGAGGGGTCCCGTACCATGCGGAATCGACCCTATCCAGTGCTCAAGTGCTCAAGTGTACGCTGTGACGGCCCGCGGTCTCTGCCAGAGGTGAGCCTCTCTCCACATAAACAAGAGCCCCCCCCCCTTGCGACTGCTTACATTGCGGTTTAGGCTTTTACGTAGAGCCGTATTCGTACGACGCGTGTGCCCAGACCGCAGACGAGATCAATAGTATGTAAGGTGCGCCCCCCTCAACACGACCGATTTATGACTCACACAGGCGGACTCTCCATGCTGCCGGCGCGGCCGCTGCGCCGCAGCCTGTCGACGTCGAGCCGGGTGCAGAAGCGATGCAGCGGAAACCCGACCACGTTCTGATAGCAGCCTCGGATGCCAGTCACGAATGAGCCACCCATGCCTTGAATTCCGTACGAGCCCGCCTTGTCCATCGGCTCGCCCGAGGCAACGTAAGCGTCGATTAGCTCTGGCGGCAGCGAGGCGAAGTCAACCTCTGTCATCTCGGCGAAGGAGTCCTCGGTCGGCGGAGCGCCGTATGCCGCGCCGTATACAAGAGCTACGCCAGTCAGCACCTGGTGCGACCGGCCGCTCAGCTCGGACAGCATTACAGTCGCCGCCTCTGTGCTCCGCGGCTTCTCGAGGATCTTGTCGTCGGCCACCACGACCGTGTCCGCACCGATTACAAGCGAGGGTGGTGCCTCGGCGGCGCAGAGCCTGCGGTACACCTCGAGCGCCTTCTGCCGCGCATTCTCCTGCACATAGCCAGCCGGAGTGTAGTCTGCCTTGACCAAGTCCTCCTCAAACGTCGAGGGCACGACGCGGGCGCGCAGGTCCATGACGTTATTGAGGATGTCCACGCGCCTCGGAGAGCTGGAGGCGAGGATGATGTGCGCTGCACGGACGGCGTTCAGATCCGACAGCATTATTGACTGCGGCGCACAGCCGCAGCCCAGAGGAAAAGAAACTTGCCGCGAGGTTCTGACCCCGCGGTGGCGGCGCCCGGGACGGGCAGCGCGGGCGAACGCGCCCGGGACGGCAGCGCCGCCCGCTGCTGGTGCGCCGGCGATGCCCTCGGTGCCGGCGCTGTGCAAGGACATCTCCCGCGCGGAGCTCAAACAGTACCTAAGGAGTATTCGACGGAGAGCGGCGAGAAGCTCTTTGCCGCCGCCAACGTGGACATGCTCGAGCACCTTCCCATGTCCACCGTCTACGAGGCGTCGAAGAGCAGCGCCAAGTGGGAGACGGTCGCCAACATGCTCTTCCCCGACAGCAAGGCGGCGTCGGAGATCTTCTTGATCAAGGTGCGCGAGGCTAAGAAGGCCGAGACCGAGGCGGCGGCGTCGGCCAAGAAGTCGAGCAAGGTCGCGTGGAAGGAGGACCTGCTCGCGGCGAGGCGGGCGAAAGAGGCAGAAGAGGCGGCGGCGCGCAAGACGGCGGCACTGGAGCGCGCCCCGTGGTGCCTGAGCACGCCGGTAGGCGCCGAGCCAGAGTGCCGAATCGCCACCCCGTCATGGCACGGCGTGAGCTGCGCCTGATTGCGTGAGACGCAAATCGGAAGGGTGCCGAAGTGGCTCTCCTCGTGCGGGCGGCGACCGATCTTGTAGGCGGGAGGGTCCGTGCCCTCGACTCTGTCGAGGGAAGAGAGTGCCGTTTTGGAGCCGTCCAACGCCTCGAGAGCCCAGTAGGCCATGCTCTGGCGGGCTCGCGAGCGGCGCGCACCGCGGTACAAGCCGGCGCGCGGCGGGCGCTGGCTGGGAGCCTATTCACACAGTATTTTTCGCTTCGCTGCGCGGCCTGGGAATAGGTAGGTAGGTGGGGCACGGAGCCTGGCGATTGGCGCCCGCAATAGGTAGGTAGGTAGGGCGTTTTGGTGCGAGTCGTGGTAAACAGACCCCCTATCCGGGTAGGAGCCGGAACCCTGGCGTCATGGCTTCCGAACCGCGAGCAGCAGCAGGCGAGCAGCAGGGCAACCAACTGAGGCGGATTTTAAAAAGAATTTGGAGTCAGAGTGTGCGTCGTGTGCGTGTCTGGTGTTAGTAGTTAGCTCCGAGGAGAGGGGGCGCTCCGCCGCTAGGGGAAACCCAAAGCGCAGACCGTAACCCTCGTGCTAGTGTTTCTTTAAATGGCGTGATAGTTTCTGCTCGTTGCACGTTGGTGCACCTGCACGAAAAGAAAGAAAATAAAAGCATGGGACGGCACGCCGTCACCCTGAACTATCCGAGACAGGCTTTTCCTGTGAGAGTTTACTCGCGATCTCGCGATCCTGTGAGAAACGGTAGCGCAGAGACCTGAAACGGTCCGGGTGTAGACTCGGCGATTGGTCGGCTGACTCGGGTGACCTTTGCGGCGACGATTGAGGCGACATGCAGCGCACTCACAGCGGTCGCTGCCGGGGCGGAAAACGTAACCTCTGTAGCGGAGTGGCCCGATGATCTTGTTCCTGCCAAAGTGGCCGAGGCGGGCGTGCCACAGGCCGTAGTCGGCATATGGTCGGACGGGCGCACAGGAAGCTTGTGGCGCTCCTCGGGACCGATGAGGGTGGTGTCGAGGGCGTCGAAGACGGAGCCGCAAACGGGGTCGCTGGAGGCGTCGTCGGTGTCCGCGGCGAAGGCGTCGGAGATGATGGGCTCGGGCGAAGTCGTCGTGTAGACGAGGAGGGTTCGTCGGATGCCGCGCCACAGGCGGCGGGCGGCGGGAGCGAAAGCGAAGAGGCGAAAGGCAGAGGAGGGCGGTGAGAGAAGGCGTCCAACATTCGTGCGAGCAGGCAACTGGACGGGCTCGAGAGCTGGCGGCGGCGGCGGTGGCGGCTCGCAGGAGATGATAGCGAGCCGGTAAAGTGAAGAAGGAGTGATGAAGTTATCAATGAAGATCCGTGCCCACGAAGCCGAGGTGCTCGTGGTGGGTGCCGAAGAGGAACAGACGGCCGCAGAGATCATCCGGATCATGCTGCAGGGCTGCACGGCCGAGGTGCCGAGCAGGCTTCCGGCCGAGGTGCCGAGAAGACTTTGTGCAGGGGCTCTGGCCCTGCCCGCCACCACAACACCCCGCAGGTGTCCATGGTGCTGGCTACCGTATCGAGCGCTAGCCGGGAAGCTGTGCGGTCGCATCGCAGCGACCGCACCAGCACTCACGACGGCCGAGTTGCCGTCGATCTCCTCGCTCCGCGATCTCACCGGAGGTACTCCCTTAATGTAGGTAAACCATAAAAGTAGATTTGAATTCGTCCACGTACGGCTTCGTGAGTGGTTGGGGTGGCCTCAAGCATCCCCAAGGGAGCCTCTGCGGTGCCACATAAGCAGCTTGGTGATTGTCGAGACTTTAAAGGATTCGTTTGAAGAAACGCAACAGGCCAGACACTACTATGGTCACACCAGTAAACCATAATTCGACTTTGAGGGATCATATCTCAAAAAGCCGGTAGATAACAGAGCATTATTGTTGCATATTTATACCACATAAGGTCAAACTTGACCCCACAAGCACAAGCATCAAGAACCCGATGCTCCGGCTCGACTGTGCCGGCACACTGCCTCCTCGCGCCAGCTGCTCGCAGGCCGTCGCGGCCCGTGGTGCACCAGAGAGAGAGGTCGACGCGTTGCCCCCGCCGGCGACCCCGCGCGGCTCAGGCCGGCCAGAAGGTGTCTGGTGACGGCGCCGTGGCAGGATTGCGGAGAAGAGCTCGCCGAACGCGAGCAGAAGATGGCCAAAGTGTGCCAGCGCGAGAGCCTCGCGAGCGGGCGCAGAAGGAGCTCGCCGTGACACGATGCCGGGCGGTGGTGGTGCTCTGGCGACTGTGCACAGTGGGAAAAGTCAGGCTGCAACAGGGCAGCACGTTGGTAGTGCCCTGCTGCAGCCTGGCCTGACATGCACAGGGCGAACAGAGACACTACTGACATGCACAGGGCGAACAGAGACACTACTATCGTCCGGCGCTCGTCGTCGAATCTGGGCCAACTTCGACCGCCGCCACAGCTCGCCACGAGCACGCAGCGACAAAATGTTGACTGTACGGAAGTTGAGGCTGGTCGAGAGGAAGAGGCTGCCGTGCGAGCCGGCAGCAGGCTGGCTCGGCGTGGACTGCAGCGGCGACTTTTATGGGCTTCTCTGTTCATAGTAGCGTGCACGCTACTATGGTTTACCCACATTAAGGGAGTACCATGTAGTGAGCTGTGAGCTGTACACGGAGCGAGGGTCTGTACCGAGGCGTACAGGAGCGATCACACCAAGATCACCATCGTCCTGAAAGGGACAAAGCTATCGTCCTGAAGGACCACGACGAGACGCCGTCCAGGACACATCCCTCTGGAACAAGGCATCTCGACTATCGGACAGTACTCAACAGGGACATCTCTCTAGATACACGAGTGGGGTATTCACACTCCCAACAAATCCCGCCGACCACCAGGCCGCGGGATGATGTGTGCGTGGTCATGTAGTGGGTCTCGGAAGCTCCCCTCTCGGGCTAGGGCAAGTGCGGGGTCCAACTGTGCAGACCGCCGCCGGCTGCGTGTCCGCCGCCGGCTGCGAGTCCGCCGCCGGCTGCGTGTCCGCCGCCGGCTGCGAGGCCGCCGCCGGCAGCCGCGAGGCCGCCGCCGGCGAGGCCGCCGCGGCCGCTTCGAGCACGAGCGGCTGCAGCGAGAGTAGGTGGGCCCTCCGGTCGCTCAGCACGAGCACCTTCCTGCCAGACGCCGCGAGCGCCGCGACCAGCGCAGCGACGCGGCGCGAGCGCCGCTCGTCCTCCGCAAGGGCCGAGACGATCTCGACGCCGCTGCCGCCGCCAACAGCGTCGCCGCCGCTGCCACGCAGCCGCCGCACACGCACCCTCCTTGCGGCGGCTGCACCACGCGTGGCGCTGAATGCGGTGGCGCCCATGAACCAGTGCAGAACCTGGGTCAGGCCGTCGGAGCGCGTGGCGGTGGCGGAGAGCCCGAGCAAGCGGCAGCCGACGCCGCCGACGCCGAAGAGGAGCGAAGAGAAGGAGCGCGCGCAGATGTGGTGGCACTCGTCCACCACCACGTGACCAAACCCGCCGAGCGAGTACTCGTCACCTCGGCGCGTGAGGGACTGCAGCATCCCCACCACGTCCGTGCCGTGCACCTCGGCGACGTTCTGCTTGATCCGCCCGATGCGCGCCTCCGGCAGAAAGTGGCGGATCCGCTCGATCCACTGCTCCACCAGGAACTCCTTGTGCACGACGACGAGCGTCCTCTGCCCGACGTCGGCGACGAGCCGCAGCGCGCACACCGTCTTGCCGCCGCCGCAGTAGAGGCTGAGGATGCCGCCGCCCTCGCGATCGTACGCCTCGCGCATGGCTCGCACCGCCTGCTCCTGCAGCGGCGTGAGCGAGCCCCGGAAGATCAGCGTCGCCGCCTCGCCCGCGCACAGGGCTGGCCTGGCCGCCTCGCGCAGCGCGGGCTTGAGCGGAAAGTGGCGCGGCACAGAGATCAGGTGCTCCGTCTCGCGAAACACGGCAAAGGGCGGCGGCGCGCCCCATCGCGGGTTGCGCGCACTCTGCTGCACAGTCAACGCAGCTCGCAGCTCGGCGAGGTCCTCCTCCCCGAGCAGAGCCTTTGCGAGCCTCAGGCCTCCGAGCCCGGCGCGCCCAGTTGCCACCGGCTGCTGCGCCGATTCGTCCTCTTCGCTGTCCGCGCCGCGCAGCACGTTGCTGCGTCTCTTGGGCATGGCTCTAGCACCCTGTGTGGCTGGGGACCGGGAGGCGTGGTAAGCCGCGAGTAGATCCGCCGCACCCCGCCCCCCGCCCCAAGGCCTCGCAACGATTGCTGCAGCGCGTCCTTCAATGGCCGCGCTGCTGACAACGCTGGTCTGCCTCGTCTTGGCGGCGACAGCGGCAGCGCCGCCGCCGCGCTACGCCGTTGAGGTCAGTCGCACCGGCCCTGGAGGGATGAACGTGCTCTTCGACTCGGTCCACCACCCAGAGACGACGGACTTTGCGCACAACTTTGGGCCGTCGCACGTGCGGCTGCTGGACGGCGTAGACGCGCTAGTGATCCGGAGCTGCGTCCACCGTCCCGGCTGCTCGACACCGGGGAATCCCGACGTCGTCACGCTGGTCAAGCGCACGGTCACGGGGCCGGTGGACCTGAGCAACCTGCAGAGCGAGTTCGAAAAGAATTCGCTGGAAGGTGATCTTGCGGCCACAGGGCGCGGACGAGCAGTGCGGCGTTCAGGATCCTCGGATCACAGTGGACCGTCGCACAGGAACGTACCTCATGGCCTACACAGCGTACGGTGACGGAACTGCTAACCCGACCGCCTGCAGCAATGCCACGGCCTGTGGCCCGACCTGGCCGCACTGCTCGCGCTGCTGCAAATCGACGAAGACGAAGGTGGTCATGTCAAAGACCCCGGAAGTGGCGTCGTCCTGGGTCCGCGTCAACCGCACCGGAGACGTAGGCTTCGACGCCAAATCGACCGCTACGCTGGTGCGCGATACACCGCCTCACTTCCAGTGGACCGGCACCGGCTCGGTGCGCTCGTGGCAGTCGAACGACTTGCTCCACTGGACCGCGGCGGAGGACGCAATCGTGGGCCGGCCCGGCAGCTTCGACCCAGGCTACTGCGAGGCGGGCGCTCCACCGGTGCGCCTCGCCGACGGCAACTACTTCACGACCTACGACACTATCATTGGCAGTCAACGGCATGTGGCTGGGCTGCCGGTTGGGTAGTGCTGAACGGCAGCAACCCGCGCGAGGTGCTCCAGCGGGGTGGCGAGCCGCTCGTCGAGCCGACTCGCCCGTGGGAGCTGCAGACGCCGCCGCAGTGGAATTGGACGCAGGCGGTCCAGGAGGGCGGGGTGCCGATGATTGGCGCGACCAACGGGCTCATGCCATTAGGTGGTGATGTGTTTTTGGCTTGGGCGTGCGCCTCTGATTCGGTGGTGGAGGCGTTCGAGGTGCGGGTGACGAAGTGGTAAAGAGTTTGAAAACAAAATGTGGGCACGGTCCACGGATTGACTCTAACGACACACAAACCCTCTCACTCACACCTCACAGAGTTCAGACACAGATTCACATGTTCAGACAAAGGTTGACAGAATTGGCACGGTAAAAAAAGATTACGGAGTGCACACATCGCCTTTGCTATGACCATCAACAAGGCGCAGGGCCAGACGCTCGAGCGCGTGGGCATTTACCTTCCGGAGCCTTGCTTCACGCACGGGCAGCTCTTACGTGGCCGCGTCGCGAGTGGGCCTACCCGACCACCGGTTCGCCGTCCCGATCGACAAAGATACCGACACCTTCCGCACATGCAACGTGGTCTTTCGCGAGGCGCTCACCTCAGGAGCGAACAACAAAACGTGTGAGTGTTAGAGTTGTTTGGTATTGCTAAAAATCTCTCTCTCAGGAGCGACCCGAACACAGCCCGCCGCACCCCGCCGAGTTTGATCGTCACAAAACAGATTCCTGCCGGATTGCTCTTGTGTCGCGTCAAAAAGAAAACCCAAGGGCATCGAATTCTTTTCCCTGTTCTTGCTGACATTTCGCCGTCAGCCAGGTTGAGATTTTTTTGGTTCTTTATCTGGGAAGCCCAAGCATTTCGGACCTGGATTCGACACTTCAGCTTGGTATAGTATCATTGTACCTTCTCTGGGGAAAGTTATTTAGGACCACCCCCCTACCGCCGCCCAGTACGTGCTCCGCAGCTGAGCCCACGCACCCCACAGCAGCTCAGGGACACAATTAGCTCGCATACGAGTGCTGGTACGCACAGCTCGACGCGTACTCGAATGCTGCCACTGTCATTCTAGCCGGCGAGCGGCGGCGTCACAGCGTCGACTCTCGCATCGCGATGAGACGCACTGCTTGCCCAGACGCGCGCTTTGGCGCGCTCCTGTGGTGCAGGAGGAAGGCCAGCGGTCGTGCTGCGCAGGCCCGGCCGTCTGGCTGAAGGGAGCAGCAGCTGGCGCTCAACAGCAACGCTGTCGAGCAGCGCAGGCAAACCACACTCCCGCCAAACCACGTGTCATTTCCCGCCAAGATTTGGCGCCAAAATGGCACTTTAGTGTCCACCTAGCCACGTGGTCGCGGCCTGAAGCTCCAAGCTTCTGGGAGTGAGGTCCCACATCACAGGGCTCCATTTGGCTCAGTTGAGGCACCGTCCAATCGTTCGCCGATGTCCGAAACCGGGGTGGTCCTAAATAACTTTCCCCAGAGAAGGTATGCAAGATCATACCCGTTACCCCAGGGCTATACCCTGATACCCTCTTGAGAGGACCCGCATTGGGCCCCTAGAGGATAGGCTGATACCCTGGTGGGTTACCCTTCACACCGGACACGACCCCCCTCTTCACACCTCTTCGCGCGCTGCGCGCGCGCCAAGACAGACAACGCGCTCGAATGAGCGTCGCGCAGGAGGGAGGCGAGCGCACCACTAAGCAATGCGCTGGGCGAGGAGGGCGCATTGCGCGCGCAACAGCTGGTGGGCGCGTGGCGCGCGGGTACGGCGGAAGCGCAAAGAGTTTGAATGATACCGGGGCGGACCGTGCGGGAGGGCTTGGTCCTCGGTGCGAGGTGTGAATTGTCGCTTCGCTGCGCGGCCGCCGATGATACCTTGATACCCAGCCGAGATAAGTCCCCACAGAGGCCTAGAGCATACCTTGATACCCCCTCGAGAAGCATACAATGATACTATACCAAGCTGAAGTGTCGAATAAGAGGGTTCCACTCTGACCTGTTCCGACCCTGATCCGACCTCTCTCGAACACCGACCTGATCCGACCGTGTTCACTTCGAACACGGTCGGATCAGGGTCGGACCAGAGTCGGAACAAGGTCGGGAAAATCCCTCCCTCCCGCCGCCGCTGACCCCTGTTCCGACCGGTCGGATCAGGTCGGATCACGGTCGGAGTTCACAGGCCGAGCTCCGAGTTCACAGCCACGTGCCGCGTACGTCCCGTTGCCGTTCAGCACACCATATACATGTGCACTGCCGCCACGCCTGACACGGACACTGCCCCTCGCGCCGACGAGCCGTGCGGGCCTCCGTCGGCGGCGTCAGACGAGCTGGCGGTGACGACTGCGACGCCCGCTGAGGCGGCGGCGGCGGAGGCGGCGGCGGAGGCGGCGGAGGCGGCGGCGGAGGCTGAGGTGCCGCCGCCGGCCGAGGAGCCGGCGGCGGAGACGGAGGGCCCGGCGGAGGAGGAAACGGCTGCGGTGGCGCTCCCGGGAGGCGAGCCGGCGGCCGAGGAGGAGGCGGCGGACGAGGAGGTGGTGGCGGCGGGGCAGCCGGCAGGCACGGCGCCCGAGGTGCGCAAGTTGCCCAGCACGACTCTCTCAGTCACGCTGAAGGGCGACAAGGCGCAGCCGGCGATGACCGCGGACCTCTCCAGAAGGCGGGGCGTGAAGGTCAAGACCTACTCACGCACCATCGCGCTGACCATCACAGCCGGCACGACCACCACGCTGCGCGAGCTCGCGACTCAGGGCGCTCTCAAGATTCTGGGCCCACGCGCGGCCGAGGTCGCGTTGCGGCAGGAGGGTGTGCTCCACGCCGAGGACGCACTCGACGAGCCGGTCAAGCTCGACACGTCGGTCGTCTTCTCGCCACCCTCGACGCCCTCGACTGACCTCGTCCTCATCGTCTACCTCGATGCCGAGATCTTCCGCGACGCGTTTGTCGGCAAGGTCAAAGCCGACAAGGAGAGCTTCGAGGTGACGACACCTGCCCAAGTGCTTCCCTTCACACACTGCGTGCATGACTGAGACTGCATGTGTCCCCGCCCACAGAGCAACGCAAAGGCCCACTCGATCAACATCCAGCAGGTGGAGATTTACGAGATGAGCGGGGTGAACAAGACCAACTTTCTCGCAGGGATCGGCGCCAGCGGGATGGACAAGGCGCCGCTCAACTGCTGCAACACGGAGAAGATCGAGACGTGGCTCGCCAAGTACAAGGGGAAGATGGAGAAGCTGCGCGCCGACCTCCTCGACCTGCGCCGCCGCAAGCAGGAGGGCAAGGCGTCTACCGCCAAGAAGAGCACCAAGCGGGCGCTCCCTCCTGATGACGATGACGACGACGATGACGAGGGCGGCGACGACGACGACGACCACTCCCCCCTCCCCTCGCTCGAGGGCACGGTCCCGACGAGCGGCGTCGCAGCGGTCCCACACCTCTGCGCCGACACTGCCTCGCATGTGATGGCGACGCTCACAGGCGCTCTGTTGCCGCGTGCATAGGTGTTCAACGAGGCGGCAAACTCTCTCTTCCTGGCCTCGCTTGCGGCCTGGTCTGCGGTCGACGGCAAGGAGCGGCGGAAGTATGAGAAGCACTTCCTCGAGAGCGCCACCCAGGCGGAGGTGGCTGATAAGTTTGGCATGGTTGGCATCACGCTCCCGCAGGTTACCGCCAAGTTCCGCAACATGAGGTACACTGATGAAAGAAAAATCGATTTCACGGAGCTGTGCGCGCCTCATTCGGTGGTGAGAGAGTGCCCGCCTCGTTTCACCATGTATGTGCTGTGCCCGTCCGTGCGGTCGGATCATGGTATGATCCAACCCTGTTCGAACGCTGCCGAACACGGTCGGATCAGGGTCGGACCAGAGTCGGAACAAGGTCGGGAAAAAGGGCCGTACGTGGGGCAGCTCATCTGTTCCGACCCTGATCCAACCCTGTTCCGACCGTGTTCGAACGCTGCCGAACACGGTCGGATCAGGGTCGGACCAGAGTCGGAACAAGGTCGGGAAAAAGGGCCGTACGTGGGGCAGCTCATCTGTTCCGACCCTGATCCGACCCTGTTCCGACCTTGTTCAAACCTAACAGGGTCGGATCAGGTCGGTGTTCACATAAGGTCGGATCAGGGTCGGAGCAGGGTCGGAACAGGTCAGAGTGGAACCCTCCTTCGAATCCTGCGGTGGCGACGCCCGGCTGGGGCTCGCCTGCTATGCTCGCTCTCTCAGCCCTCTCTACCTCTTTCCTAGTCCCCGCGCTGCGCGCCAGCCCGCCGCTCTCCTCGCTTCCAGCGCAGTCCGCCGGCCTGTCGCCCGCGCCGCCCGCTGTCGTTGCAGAGGCGGCTCGCCGCGGCGGTGGTGTGGTGCGGATGGAGGAGACGGAGGGGCCAAGCGAGACGCTACAGGCGCTCGGCGTGGCCGGCGGCCTGACGGCCTTCTGCTTTGCCTTCTTCTACGCGCTGACGAGCGCCGGCGTCGACGATGTGGTCGCCGGCAACCTCTTGCTCGTTGCGCTTGCCGCTGCGGGCGCCGGCCTCTTCTTCTTCGACGGCGGCGCGACGCAGGCCGCCCTCGAGGCGAGCGCGGTACCCATCACGGCTGCGCGGTACTCGCGCTTGGCCGTGCTCACTCATGCGACGGCGGCAGCGGCGACAGTCGCAATTTCCCGCAGGGCCGCTGCGTTGCCTCCACCTGATCTTCTGGCGAAGGCACCTCTTGCGCCGCAGCAGCTGAGGGAGCAGGCGGCGGTGCTCTACACACCGCCGCCCGTCAAGGGCACTTCAACACCCGATCAGATCGGACTGGCAGAGCACTTGAGCAGGAGCGGCGCAAAGTTCTACGGCGCGTACTGGTGCGGCTTCTGCCTCAAACAGCGCGCGATGTTTGGCGCCGGAGGCTCACGGCGGCTGCCCTATGTCGAGTGCGCAGAGGGCGGCTACCAGGCGGACGCAGCGCTCTGCGAGGCGAGGCGCGTTACGGGCTACCCCAGCTGGGAGATTGGTGGCAAGCTGTACAGCGGCATGAAGTCGCTCCCCGAGCTGCAGCGCCTCAGCGGCTTCAACCCCGCAGTGCAGTTCCCGGCGCCCGAGCCGCCGCCGCCGCCGCCGCCGCCGCCGCCAGGCGGCTTCAAGCCACCCGAGGTGGAGACTGTGTCCACGAGCTACACGGTCGCCCTCGCCAAGCACCTGCGCTCGAGCGGCGCCGTGTTTTACGGCGCGCACTGGTGCCGCTTCTGCGGGCTGCAACGCTCGCTCTTCGGGCGCGAGGCGGCGCGCCAGCTTCCCTACGTAGAGTGCGCCGCCGACGGCTTTGGGAGCGAGGCCACCCGCTGCCGCGCCGCGCCGGAGGTGCGCGCGTACCCGAGCTGGTCGATCGGAGGCAAGTTCTACTCCGGCTACCTGCCGCTGCAAGAACTGGCCAAGCTCAGCGGCTTCATGCCGCCCGCCGCCCCGCCCGCCGCCACCCCGGCGGAGGGCCTAGGAATAGACTTCGGGAGCGCACCGCCCGTGCAGCGCGCCGCCGACGAGGGCTGCGAGCTGCCCAGTCGGGGAGTGGACGGCGGTGCTGCCGCTGGACCTGGAGGTGGAGCGGCGCCTGGCTGCAAGTGACGCGCGCGCTCGACGGGCCTCGGACTATCGACATAAGTGTCCTTGGCGGGGTATACTATAGGATCCGACGCCACTCAGTGCTGGTCCGCTCCACCACTCTTCTGACGCTTCCCACCACCATTCGAACGTCCTAGCGAACGTCCCCCGATGACGTTGCGCGTGTCTGCACCCCCACCTCCCCATACTTTTCTGCGTGGGTCGCTCTCCGAGAGCACGCCGGGCGGCAGCTCCTCCGTCGACCAACAGAGCACGCAACCCTCTGGCGGCGTGACGCGCTTTCGCAATGCCGGCCCGAAGCCGCCGCAATACCAAAACGAGACGAAGGGCGACGTCCGGATGCCGAGCGCGGCGTTGGTGTGCCCGTGTGTCTTGGCCTTCGCGCCACCCGAGGTGAGGTCCGACCGCCGCCCTCGCGGCGTCCAGTAGTTGTACCGCTTTCTCGGCGCGATGTAGAAGGGCTGCGTGTCGGCCGTGCCGTGGGAGCGGCCCAGCGCCGCCCAGTAGTAGTCCTTGGTGTACACCCAGTTCGGCATCAGCGCGAGCCACGGCGTGCCTGAAGCAGCACAGTGGGCGAGCAGCCGCTCGGGGTGCGGGTGCGTGTAGGGCGGGTTGGTGAGCAGCACGTCGTGCTCGGGAAGGTCGCCGCTGTCGAGCCGCGCGTAAAAGTCCTCGTTCGCATTGTGCACGTGAGGGAAGCCCAGCGCGGCGAGGTGACGAGCCACGGCACCGTTGCAGTAGTAAGGGTCCCAGATGCGAAGCTCCTCGGGCGGCACGCCGCGCTTGCGCGCCACCAGGCGGAGCAGGCTGACAATGTGCGCGTAGGCCTCAGGCGCCGTCTCGCAGTGGTCGTCCTCGGCGGCACTGAAGGCGAGAGGCTGCGGCACAGGGTGCGGTACCGACGGCTGCCGCGCCTCGCCAGTCGCACCGCCCGCTGCCTCTGACGACGACACAGCCTTGGGGAGTGGCACAACCGCGCCGGCCTCCCATCTGCCAACGGCGACGAGGGCGCCGCGATCGTCACGCTCGCTCGCGTAGACGGTGCCGTCGGCCGCCCTGAGCAGCAGCTCTCCACCCAGCACCACGCCCTGCAGCTCTGCCGGCTCTGCCGGCTCGGGAACAGCCACCTCTTTGAGCCTCCGCTTGGCCGCCCGCTTGGCCTTGCGCTTCTCACGCTTCTTGCCGTCAGGCATTGACAAATAAGCTGTGGGCCGCTGTTTTCACGGTGCTCAGACTGCCCCCCGGTTAAGATCTCGTGCAAAACTCTTTTTCCCACCTTCAAGTACACCCCCAAGACTTCCCCAAACCGCCCAGGATGAGCTCCTGAGGTGCCAGTCCGCCCGAGATATGACCGGTTGAAGTTGGGGTTCCACGGTCAGGATGGTAGGGTGCCCACAGGACCCAAAAAAAGAAAGGAAAAAAGAAATGGGGCACTCCCGATCGCAGCACTTCATGTTGGATAGTCGAGATATTGAGAGTGTGACTAGGAGGGAGGGACGCTGGGGATTCTCAAAGGTATACCCTTGGAATGGCCGGATCCAGCCTTAAAAGTACGAGATCGCGCGCGCTTCGCGCACAGCACCGCCTGTTCTCCGCGGCTGAGTGACGACGCGTGCCGTGTGCCAGCAGAGTTGGGCGCGCGCGGCGCGACGGCGCCCGCGAGGGAAGCGCGGGTGCAGCGGCCGCCGGCGGCCGTACCGCTCGCCAGCCAGCGCAGCAGCGGCCAGCGCAGCGGCCGCCGGCGCAGCAGCCAGAGCAGCCGGTGCGCGCCTTGCGAGGCGAGTGCTCCCCCCCGGCCCCCTTGAGCCCCCCGGGCGGCAGTACTCGTTCGAACTTTGCGAGCCGTGCGCGCGCCGAGGCGCCCGCGGCGCGCGCCCGCCCGGCTGCCAGTAGGAGGCGGCGCAATATGGCCTATAGTACAGCCCTTAGGAGGAGGAAGAGGCTGGCTGGCAGTGCTGTATGCCGCCGAGGGGCAGTTTTGGGGTGCTGTCACGGGCCCAGGGGGCTGCAGAAGGTGTCCGCAGCCGGGACAACCCGCCCCCCCAGTCGAGGCCGGTCGAAGCCCACTTGACCACAGCCATGAGGAGTCCTCTTGGTGCTCCTGGCGGCCGTTGGAATGGCGAGCCCGCCCCGAGGGGGGGGGGGGGGGGGTCTTGCTTGCTCCACACCGAGCGCCATCGGTCCGGACCGGCGTGGTCACCGAGGGTCGGCTTGCACAAGGTCTGTGCCGCGGGCGCTCGGCGCCACGTGCAGTGTCACGCTCGTGCTCGCGCGTGACAAACCGGGGAACCCTCGTTTCCTATGTACTCGGAGCCCTCCACTGTACGCTGGTATGGCG